ATCGAAGCAGTTTGAGGGCTTCTGATTTAGGGTTTGTAATGATTTCTTTCTCTCTTTGGGAACCTATTTTCTTTTTTTTGATATGTTCATCTTCTCTGTCAAATCTCTTTTCTATCTATCCAAAATCTGCAAGGGGTTTAACCAGTTAAGAGAAAAACAAAAAAGAAGTTGAGGAGAAAACCAACTAGGCTGAAGAGAAATCCGGCTAGGCTGAGGAGAAATTCAGTCTCTTGTGGTAAAGCATCTTGTAACCAAAAATCTTACAATCTTTCTATCTGATTTTCTTTTCTTTGGGATGGGGAATCAATTTCAAAAAGGCTTTGATCTTTTTTTGTTGCTGGGCTACTGGATTCACAGAGAAAAAAAATTTATAGAAAAAAAAAATCTAAGAGAAACACTTGAGAGAAGAGAGGCTTTGGCTTATCTATTTGTGTACTAACTTTCCTTGCTGAGTTGTAACAGGAAAACATGTCTGAGATGTCAGTAAAAGAAAGGAGACACCAACCTATAAGTTTGATAAGATCCAGATGGAGGTCATTATGGCTACACTGATGAAAGAAATGGATAAGAAAATTAAAAGAGCTTCCTTTGCTACTGATAATGTTTTGGGTACTGTTTCCCAGGTTCAGAAAGATGCTAAGGACAAAAGAGGAGCAGGATACCATCTTTATGTGGCACAAACGACCCTGATGGGTACTTGGAGTGGGAACAGAAAATGGAATTTTTTTTTGATGGCCAAAACTATTCAGGAAGCAAGAAGGTTAGATTGGCTACATTAAAGTTCTACACTAAAGTTCTGTGGTGATGCCATTCAATGGTGGGATGAGCTTGTTACTACCAGAAGAAGGACAGGAGAAGCACAAGTTGCATCCTGGTTTGAGCTTAAATACTTCATGAAGAAACACTTTGTTTCTAGTAACTACAGCAAAAGACATCCGGGACAAGCCAAAGAGACCAGACTTTGCCATGATTGTCATCAGCCAAGAAAGTCTCAGTCACATAAGCAAAGAAGGCCAACCTCACGTCCTCTCAAGTGCCAATGAACCATTGTGTTCTAAGAAGGATACATCTATCCAAGAGCTGAAGACAAAACCATCTAAGGTAATAAAAGAAACTGAGACAGAAAATGAGTTTTCTCTTTTCTCTTCTCAGTCTAAACTTGTTATCAGTGATACCTTTGATGAACTAACTTGTCTTGAGCCAGTACATCCGAGTAGTCTTGTTTCAGTATCTCAGGTCTAGAAGAAAACCCATCAGAAGAAGAACAAAAGAGTTCACCACTAGAAGAAGAGTTGGAGCGGCCAAACAACATTGAAGCAGAAAGAGATGCTAAGTCATTCTCTTTGGATTTACAAGAGCACAATAAGGAACTTGTTATGCTTAATTCTCTGCCTGAAATGTTTGTTAAAGTCAGTTCCCAAGATGTTAAACGTTTTGGTTTAGACAAGGTAAAAGAATTTTTTGTTTTAGACACTGTTTTTGATAACATGATTTATGCTTTTAAGAAACTTGAACCAGATAAAGATTATGAGCAAAAACGTTTTTCCTGTGGTAATGAATCAATCCTGGTCTTTTTGTTGAGTTTTGATCAGGTTAGGAAACATAACAGAAGCCTAGATCACTCTGAAAAGAGACTAGAGTTTGTTCTGCAACAATCTGATTTATGTTTCAGAAAACCTTGTGATTCTTTTGCTTACTTTGATGATAATGGCTTTGATCTGAGTTTTTCTGGACATGAACTGATAACTGGTGATTCTTTTTCTACCACATGTGCCTGCAAAGAGTTTATAATTAGGAATTTGCAGAAACCAAAACAACTTAGACCTGAAACCGAATTTATTTGTGATTCTGGTCTTAAACTTGGTTTTTTGTTCTGAAACTGATAAACCATGGCATGTTTTGAGATCATTGCAAGAGGATTGTGTTGTTTTGAGCTTTGATGATATTCTGGTTTATAATACATTCTTTGATAAACATGATGAGCTTTTGCTAAGTGATGCTCAGTTTGAAGTTGATATTTTGTGTTCTGATTTTGAGAAAGATAGGCATGTTTTGAAACTGTTCTATAAAACTACATGCCTTGACACCATTCTGGTGTACAACACTTACTTTGATAGGCATCATGAGGATCTGAAACGAGTACTTCATGTTCTAAGGAAAGAAAGTTTGGTTTATGATATGAACAAAAACATGTCTTGCACTAATAATTTTGGAAGAAGTCTAGCCTCTGTTTTGAGTTTCCAGGAACAACAGGTTCAGTCTCAGAGGAGTGTAAGGGACGAAAGCAAAGATCATGCTTATCGATCTGAGACTCGGAGATGGAAGTTCTTGAGAAAACCGACCTCAAAACTCCAAGGAAGTCTCATTCTAAAACCTCTCTTTAATGTTACTTTTATGCTTATTTTCTTGATCATCTATCTCGCCTCTTACTTGTTTCCCTTATATGTAGGAGATACAGATTTGAGGACAAATCTTTTTAAAGGAGGAGGGGATGATGTAACCCTGACTGAGCCAGCTGAATGAATATCTATCAAAGGACAAACCAGGATGGATGAAAGGCGAGCTAGCGGAGCTAGATGGAAGTGAGACCTCAGAGGGAGCTGGACTTGAGAGTGCTGGACTTGAGAGTGCTGGACTTGAGAATGCTGGACTTGGGAATGCTGGACTTGGGAATGCCAGACTTGAGATTGCTGGATGACTTGAGACTGCTGGACGACTTGAGAGTGTACCTGCAGATTCTTCTTTGTCTTTCTCAAACCAATCCAATCAAGCCCAAGACCCATTCCGGTTATCTTAAGGGCCAATAACCAGATCACAAACCAGAGAACTGAAGAAGCCAATTTTGTGCCTGGTTTACCCTAAACCATACGCAAATCCAATTGAAGATCAAATCACAAAACCAGTCAACCTTTTTAATTATCCAGTCTTTGGTCTTGCCTAGTTTTTTCCCTTATTCTTTCTCGTTTTCTACAAGTTCTGAGAGTGTTTCATCTTCTTTCTTCCCTACATAAACAGATGGTCCTGTTTCAGTTTATTCATTCAATTTTTTAATAAAAACTTCTCTGTGATCCTGTGAATCCTTTGTTCAGTTTCTGGACATTGTTTGACTAGGAGTTGATTCTCTGCAAGGCTCTTCACCTCCGATCATTGTTTGTGGGCGTGATACTCACGATCATTGGCACTTCTACACAAGTGTTTGATCTCTCCATCGATCTCACACTGAAGACCATCACCATCTCTACTTCTATCCATCATTCCATCCATCATCACTCTGTCTCAACAAAAGACCATCAATCCGATCAAAAACCATCAAGAATCACGAACCAAAATCAACCCTCAAGATCATCAAGGGATCTAAACCAGTAAGGGTTTCATTAATACTTTGGCTGGATTTGGGTATGCAAAGATCTGTTTTGAAACAGACTCCCTAGCGTTGGTAAAGATGATAAATGAAGAGGAGGAGACCTGGCCAAAGCTGAAACCCATCATGCAAGAGATTAGAACCCTGTTGAGGGCATGAGAGAATCGGAAGTGAAGTATTATCCTCGAAGTGGTAACAAAACTGCCGATAGAATAGCAAAGGAGACTGCTGCATTTAAGTCCATTGTCTCTAAGCTGTATTCTATTGTGTCTAGATGGTTAATTATTTGTGTGAGGCTGATAAGACCATTGTATTACATTGAATTGGTTGATGTTTGAGTCAAAAAAAAAAGATAACATGATAAGTGAGAATTGTTTAGAAACATGGATAACAAATTAAGTACTTTCTTTTATTTGCATATTTAGCCAGCATTTACAATAAATTAAATACTTTCCTTTTGTATTTCTTTTATTTATAGATTATGCCATTTCATTTAAAATCAATTTAAGTTAATTAACTATAATGGTTTTTCTTTCGTTATTGTAAAAATAAAATCACAAACTGAAATATATTTTATATATTATACAAAATAAAATTTTAAATATATTATTACCTTATTTAATTTAGTCAAATATAAAATTTTGAGATTTCAATTTAATAAAAAAACAAAATATCATATAATTAATGATAATTCATAGAAAACTAATGCAAAAAATATTTTGAGTATGTTGTTTCCTTTTAAATTAAATTAACAAAAAAATAATATCTTAATATATGAATAGTACAATTACATCAAACTGCATCAAGTTATAAAATTTTTACAAATAAAAAAAATTATTATTAAACATTTATGTTATAAAGTAATATATTCTACTCTATATTTAAATTACAAAACATAAAAAAATATTTTTTTATAAAACCAGCGGTTTATGAATTAATGTTGAACAAGTTAAATCAAACACTCGTACGGAAGTGCGGGTTAAGTTCTAGTGAGGCAATTCCTCACATACCCCTAAATCTCAACTTCTAATCTCTCTAGGACACATTTCTTCTTTTAATTTTATATGTCAAACAAAAAACATAAAATTAAACTTGAAACGTGAATATTTTTTATTTGATTTATAGAATTTGCTAAAATTATTTCAAAAATTAAAAAACGTTTTTTCATATTTTCACGAAAATCAACAAAATATGATTAAAAACGATTTAAAAATATTTTTTTCGAATTTGAAAGCTATAGAATTTAAATATTTGTCCATGGGTTCACCCATCCATTGGGGGGTTGTTTAGTTTGAACACCAAGGAGGATTTAATTTGGGGTTTAGGTTTTGATTAGAAAAAAGAATTATGAAATAAGGGTATAAGAGATCACGCGAGCCCATACGAGATTACCTCTAAGGGGTACACGAGAAGTTGACTCAGTTCTAGTATAGATTAAATTTGTAAAAAGAAGTTAGAGAGAGATAGGAAGAAAAGGTAGGAAAGAGGAGTGGATTTTGGTTTGTTAATGTCTTTTTTTTTCTATGGCTAATTGGCCTAATTTCCCGAAGATGATAAACTATTGAAAGCCCATAAGCCCACTTTTGAGTTTTGGAAAAAAGAATAATCCAAACAAAGTCGACGGTGAACCCTTCAGCCGCCTGCCTTCTTCACCAGATGCATCCGCCATTGAAGCTCCGTTCATCTCTCTTGATTCCCTAAAAATTCTGCACTCTTCCCTTCCTTTACAATTCCAAATCAAAATCTCCCTTCTGATTCCAACTAGGGAATCGTGTTTCCTTGTTCTATGGCGGTTTGGCGTATAATCACTCAGTCGTACATCAAGTACGCATCAACACAACTAAGCAGGAACTACAGTCAAGTCTGTCTTGCTACCTCGCTCACTCATGCCGTGAAGCAGACAAAATTGTCTTCTTTCGACATCCCACATTCAGACATCTCTATAAAGCCTTCTAGAATCTTCGACAATGTCAGGTTGTTTGCCACTTCAACTCAGGTACACTCGTTTGTCTTTCTCAGCACTGTGCTTCCTTTTAGATTGCACTTGATTACTTTTTTTATCTATGTTCTTACTTCTTGGAGTTTGTCTGCTAAAGATAGTGTCTCTGCACTATATAGTACATGTGTTGGATTATCTGAGTAAGGGTTGTTGGGTTTGTATGTGTTTATTTCTGTGGTGTTAGTGAGTAACTTCATAATTTCCATGATCTTCTTGTTCAAGACAAGGAAAAAGGAAGAGGAAGTTGAGTCTGATGGTCCACGTCTCAATGACAAGATTACTGCCGAGATTGTTAGATTGGTTTCAGAGGAAGGTACTCTCTTTTTTCCATGTACATGCTTATGTTAGTAAGTTCCTTTCTTGTTGTGTATCCTTAGATTGAGTCAGTTAAAAGTCATGTGGTCGTATTGATTTTACTAAAGAAATGTGTGTCATCTGCGTACAGCTTTAGAACACACAATGAAAATTAGAAAAGATAAATGGAAAAAGTGATATGGTATTATCGTTGTGCAGGACACTGCATTGTGTCACTGAAGGAAGCACTCAGACGGGCCAAGGAGCTGAAGCAAGACTTAGTTGAGGTGAAATATTAGTAATTCTATAAGTTGTTTCTGATCATTGCAGATCTGCCTTTATTTGTATCATATAGTCTACAAATGCCTCTCTAAAGGTTTATCTATTTAGATTCAAAATTGTTTCTTTGTCTTGTAGGTCCAGAGAGATGCTAACCCACCAGTGTGTAAAATTGTAGACTACGCACATGAGAAGTACAAAAAGTCTCAAGTAGGAAAGGAGCGTGCTAAGGCCAAGGTCAGTGATAATGGCCTATTCATACGTCAAATTCTCCATCTTTTCTTTTATTTTTTCGTATGGAATTATTACTTGTCTTTGCGTCCTGAGTTATGGTTTAATGCCTTGTTCTAGCGAGCTGAAGTAACCATTCGACCTGAGGTCAAGGAAATTCGATTTACTCCAAAGATCGTAGGTTCCTCTTGAAAAGCCTTTTCTCTTTCTTTCTTCTCATCTCAGTGATCATGAAAAAAAAACTACAACGACATTTTTCTTTTTCTCTTTAGGATGCAAAGGACTTACAGTTCAAGGCAAAGCAAGCAACGAAGCTGATGGAAAGTGGATATCGTGTGAAGGTATAAATCAAACTCCCAAACTTGAAAGAAGTAAATATCTTTGTTGAGTAATTTTTCATGTATCTTTCGTTTGTTCTTCTCTGTTTTGTTTTGTGCAACAGTGCCATGCAGTTCCTGACAAAGACAAGAAGAAGGAGCTTGAACCAGAGAAGCTGCTTGAGTTATTATCTCGCTTCACTTGTTATGTAAGTCTCCTCTAATTTTGTTATCTAGTTTTCCTGTCTATGCTTTGGTTTAAATCATCGGCTTGGATAGATTGAAGATGCACTTGTGGAGTTTGGGCCAGAGGCGGATAAAGGTAACGCTGTTGTGGTAGTCAGACACGCCAAGTTTGGACCGCCCAAGAAAGGAAAGGCGATAAAACTGAAGGAAATGAACATAAAAACTGCAGCAAGAATAAAAGATGATTCACCAAAGCTTGAGAGCTCAGAAGCTGATGATGATGAGAGAGGAGTTATAGAGACACCCGAACCAGTTAATATCCAGAACAGGTATGCAAAAAGTGAACCTGACAATGACTTCTCAGGAGGTAGGGATGCAAACCGGTTTGAACCTCAGGCTCCAGAACGTCTTCGGTTCCAAAACCAAGCTCCAAACCAACAACCCAATGGGCGGCTCGATCCTCAGTCTCCAAACCATTCTCCAGGTCCACAACGTCCTTGGTTCCCAAACCATCAACCTACTGGGAGGTTTGATCCTCAGTCTCCTAATCAGCCTCCAGGTCCAACACAGCCTCGGTTCCCAAACCAACAACATGCTGGGCGGTTTGATCCTCAGTCTCCAAGTCCACCGCCTCGGTTGCCAGACCAAACTCCAAATCAGCAACCCTCTGGGCCTCCAAATAGCCACCTGGACCGGCAAGGTCCTCCACCTCGATTCCACAAGCAGTATCCAAATCAACAAGCTACAGGTCGGTTTGGAGTCCAGCCACCAAAGCCGCCACCCCGAGCTCCACCACCACCGCGTCCACCAACCCGGTTACCAAATGAAACTTCGTACCAACAACCTACAGCCCCTGGAAGAGCTACGGGTGAGGCTCCTAGTTATGGGATTTTTAGCACCCCAAATACAAAGTAGGACCAGGCCTATTTAAAAGAAACCCATAGGACTTGAATCTTTGTGATGCCTTTCTTTGGACTCTTTTTTTTTTTCTTTTTTTTTTGTTGTTTGGGGAAAGGGCTCTCATTATTTTATGTATAACTAATAGTCCAATAATTTATACACTTTGTAACTCTCATTCAGTTTGTTTTGGTCATCTTTGAACAAGAAGGTTTGGGAACCATTTGATTCAGTATAAAATATATATGAGGTGATTTTATTTAATAAAGTGAATAAATAAATGGGCAATTCTCCTCAGTAGCACACATTCAAGTTTTCATCCCTAAACTAGCACAGGCGATGTGATGGGCTCCGAATCCTTCGGATTACGGGCATGTAAGAGGTGCTGATCTGCTTTGCATCCGGAGATGGAAGGTCTACTCTAGGCAATTTCATGTTTGAGACGCACGAAGATATCCTCGGTACGGATCGAAACAGACTGTTCGGACCTAGTAGACATGTTTACAAATCCGGAGGAATGGCCGGCATTCGCGACAGAGATCGAGATGTTTCAAAGACTCTAGGAGGGCTTTGAGGATATAAGTCTGTATCATATTCCTCGGAGTAGGAATATTCGAGCAGACGTATTAGCCAAGGAAGCAAGGATGAAAGAATACATTTTCTCCCATATAGATCAGACCAAGCCACACGGAGGTACTCCTGCAGCAGCTCCTCCTCCACTCCTCTCTCTCTCAGCTTCTCCTCCACTCGTCGGGCTGATAAAGTTGCAGCCGGTAAGTTATGCTATGTCCGAGCATTATTTCGGAAGTAGGTTTTGGGGGTTTTAATTGATTTGTAATTGTGACAAGTTTTGTTTAGTTTCGGGGTAAATTGGTATATAATGAATTTCTGTAGGTGAATTGGAGTTGAGGGATAGGGATAAACCCTAGATTATTCAATTGTTCTTGATAAATTGTAGTAAAACTGAATAAATGGGTACAACTGGTAGAATTAGGAAAACAAGAAAACTGGTAGAATAACTGGTAAAACTGTAGCAGGATAATAGTAGGGGAAATTGTAGTGAGTTTCTTTTGTTTGTTCCTTTTGGCAGGACACAATGTGCAATCACGTCAAAGATATACCTGGTAGTCCGAAAGAGAGCTACAAGATGTTGTATAGCTATTTGTACATGTTAGAGCAAGTGAATCCGGGGACAAAAACCTCTTTGAAATTGGATGATAGAAGTAAATTTGAGTACCTTTTCATAGCTTTGAGAGCTTGCATTGAAGGGTTTGCAGTTATGAGGAAGGTGATAGCTGTGGAGGGGATACGTCTGAAGAACGGTGGTGTTTTAGTTTTCGCGAAAGCCGTGGATCCTAATGGTTAGAGTTATCCACTTGCGTTTGCAGTAGTAGATGGTGAGAATGTTGCTAGTTGGACTTGGTTTTTCGAGATGCTTAAAAGTGTTATACCAGACTCTTTTGAACTGGTTTTCATTAGTACAAGAAATCAGAGCTTGATCTTCGCCATAGGAAACGTGTTTCCACAGGCTCACCATGGTCATTGTTTATGGCATTTGAAGGAAAAGGTGAAATTGCATGCTTGTAACGTCAACAAGAATATAGTCGGGCAAAAACTTATGGAGTTGGGAAGATATTACACGGTTGATGACTTCAATTCTGCTTACGACTCATTTAAGATAAGATGTCCTGCTGCGTACAAGTATGTGGAGGAATGTGGTATTGAAAAGGACAAATGGGCAAGGGTTTTTTTTCCCACGTGATAGGTACAACTTGGATACAAGCAACACTCTGGTATCAATGAAGAACGTGTTTAAAGAGGCAACGAGGAGGGCCTTAATACCAATGCTGGATTGTTTCATTAGGAAATTCTCTGATTGGTTCACTCAACGGAAGGATGTTGTTTCTAGATCAATGAATACAAGACTGGTGCCTCGGGTTGAGACCTACTTGCACGATCTATGGGCTGTTGCACATAAGCTACCTGTGCGGAAACTTGATAGTTACGAGCTTAAGTACGAGATCACTGACACTGCAGGAAAGGTGTTTTGGGCGACCTTGGTTGGAAAAACTTGTACTTGCAAGGTGTGGGACTATGAAAAGTTCCCTTGTCTGTATGGACTGGCAGCATATATCTATTTCGCTAGGAATGTTGATTTGCTGGCGCCTTGATATCCATGAGTTGTGCTCAAAATACTACTGGACGGAAATGTGGCATTTGGCGTATTCCAGAACACTTAATGTTGTGCCCGAAATGGCTTCTTGGAATGTACCAGATCAGATCAAGGAGGTGAAGATCATACCTCCAGATCGCATCAAGCGGCAAGGAAGGAAAAGAGTTTAAATTTGGATGAATTTGGATGAATTTGGAGTAATGCATATTTCTAGTAATGCATTTGGGTACTTGATTTTGTGTTGTAAGCTCTGGAACTTTGTTTTATTTTGTGTTGTGTCGTGTTGTATGACTTGGAAAACTGCGTAAAACTTGAAATCTACTTTGTTTTGTAATGACATTAGTATTATCTATATCAAAACTCGAATCTCATAGTTTTTTCTCTATCAAAACCCGAATATCATAGTTTTACATTTGTTTTCGCAACTCTAACATATATTTATAACAAAACTCGGTTATCAATTTCAGCTAATTTAGGAAAAAAACTCTCACGTATCCCTTACGAGACCTTGCAATTCCAATAACACTTTGGTGGCCAAAGACATCTTACAAACGAAACTTCCGAGTTATATCTATTCGCTAAATATAATTGCACGGAACTATATATATAACAATTTAAACTAGTAATATTGAAGGTAAAACTAGATAACCAATTTAAAAAGATTAGTAACACTAAATAAATTAGAAACCGACAAAAATATAACTATGACCAAAGTTGGGAATACTAGTATCTTGGGTATAACTAAGAACAAAGTTTTTTTGGGCAATTAATATTAAAATCGTCTAAATTATCTCAACCACACAATACTCCCCTCCCAAAGCCTTTCAAGTCCCTACTTTCAGTTTGACTTTTTATCCCTTTTTCATCTCTCCCTCTCTCTCACTTTTTATCCCATTTCCCCTCCCTCTCTCTCTCCTCTCTCATGTCGGGATCCCTCTCGTGTCTCTCTTCTCTATTTCGAGAATCGAATTATCTTCCCCCCCCTCGCCGAGCAAGTTAGATGGAAAAAGTGAAGATGGAAGTGGGTTCGGGTTCGTCTTTTTCGCAAAGGAGCCGCCGATTTTCTTGTCTGAGGTTGTGTCACTGTGGCTTGCCGGCGAAACTAAGGCAAGCTTGGACTGATAAAAATCCTGGTCGACACTTTTATGGCTGTCCGCGTTTTAAGGTATGAATATATGATGGAATCTGGATATAATGGAATCTGGATTGGGTTTGAATTTTGACCTTATTGCAGCTTGGAAATGAATGCAAGTACTTCTCTTGGTTCGATGAAGAGGATGGTACAAAATGGCAAATGAGAGCATTGCTTCAAGCCCGTGATGAAATCCGGGAGAAGAATAAAGTGATTGAGCAATTACAGAAGACCATTTCTGAAATGAAAAGTCATTTGGAGAAGAAGAAGACATGGAAGGGCGGGAATGACGAAAATGAAGAAGATGACATTGTTAGGAAGTTTGAAGAATTGTATGCTTAGTTTAAGTGTGGTGTTGAAGAATTAGTTTTCCTAGTATTTCTAGTTTTCCTAGTTTTCATTAAGTTCTCCTAGTTCTCCTAGTTGTCCTAGTTTTCATTAAGTTCTCCTAGTTCTCCTAGTTGTCCTAGTTCTCCTAGTTGTTCTAGTTTTCATTAAGTTCTCCTACTTTTCCTAGTTTTCCTTAAGAGGCACATTCAAAATATAATCATAAGAACTTCCATGATAACAAGATTGCAACATCCATGATAACAAGAACAAGTTCCATCCAACATACCTAATAACTCAAGTGGTTTCCAACATCCACACAACAACAAAATAATGGGTCCAACTTCCCACAAATTACATAACCGAGTTTACAAAATACATAACCGAGTTCTTCACTCCCTGCTTCCTTGCCCTTCATCCATAGCTTTCTTCATAAACGCTTCAAACGGAACCACCATCCTTTCCTCAAACTTGTCCATTGTCTTCTTAACTCTCTTTAGCTGAGTGCCAAACATTTTCACTTGTTTGATCAACTCCTCCATCATCTTCTTCTGGCTTGCGCCTCCTTCCTCTCAACCTTCTTCGTCATCCTGATCTTCGTCGACAACCTCTTGTGCATTTGGATCACGCGCAGCAACTTCTACATCATACATCTCTTCAAAAAAGACTGAATGTCATTCTGCAAAACGCTTTACCCAACTGTCAACAGAAATATCACCGACATCAACGTCGTCCTCCTCTTCAGTCAGCTCTTCCAAAAGAGCTACTTCGTCTTTTGTCTTGGTAAGAAGGATGCTGTGGATATCCCCTGACTA